TTCCAATTGCGGTCACGGAACTGGGAAAAAATGGGAGCATTCCAGTCCTGCAGGAAACGTTTACGTCATTGTGCTCACCGATGCGCGTTGTCGTTTCGAGGAGGAACATGATACGTTCAGGGGCGCGCGATTTACAGGCGGTAATAATCGTTAAAAGATCTGTACCGCGTATACAGCGGGACAAGGGATGTTACGCGGAGTGAATTCGACGACGAGTGACAACAAGCCACGCGTTGTCTAGACACGCGAGTGGCACACGCTATATCAATGAAAGTATCTGTCGGGGATAACGATAATGCGACCGGATTATTACACCCTCGAGACCGATCCCCCGCGAATTACCGGCCCGTTTCGCGTGGCCAACTGATTTTTATCAGCACGCACGTTACCGCCGCCAATTTTTTATAATATACTCATCGGCGGTAAGAGGGTGAAACGACGCGAGGAGAAGGCGAACGAACCGGAGAGCCACGTTCTCAAAAAACCTAACGACCCGTATAGACGCGAGCGGGCTTTGTGATGCCATAATCTCGGGAACCTACGAATCAGAGGTGGAAAACTATATCCACGTACATATGTGCTCTAACGCGGTGACCAATGCGATCGCAATGGGAATTATATTGAAAGGACGAAAAGCATCTTTCGCTCCAAATAGCTCCGACCACTGTACTTCTATTCCCATGGAAGTTTTAGTACGTATACCTTCTGTACAAGCTTTTAATCAAAACAGATGTTGCGTTATTCATACGTACATTTGCTCGTTCGCAGTCAACGTTCGCTTAAGTGTATTTTGTAACGCTAACAAAAATAGTATGATTTTATTACTACTGTGTTCTCCGTTCGATGGGAACGAGGGGCATGAGAAAATAAAGGGAATACGATAAAGGTCCTTTGCCTGACGAGTTAACGCGAGCCGTTCGATGATGATGATACTCTCAGTGAGAGCTAAAAGCATTCCTCGAGGGACGAAACTCGCCGCGTGTATGTAGGTTAAAATCTGTTGATATACAGCTCGCACGTGGACTTCCTTTCGGTCGGGCCACGTAAGCCCGGTTTCCTGTTCCTTTTTTGACGGGTGAAACGGCGAAAACCGGTGCGACGCGACGCGACGGGACGGGACGAGCGAGCCGATGGTGGGGTTAATGTGCGTACACACCACGGGATGTCTACCAATTTCCGGGTTCACCTAATGCATTTATCAGACAGGCAGAAAGGATCGAGGGAGAGTACGGCCACGGGGAGGGAAATAATTGAGACGCGGACCACGTTCGGGAGAAGAGGATCGACGGAAGGCCGGGCGGAGGCTTCGTGTAAAGCGGAACGAATCATAAAGGCGTGGAGAAATTAATGAGAACGAGAGCCGAACGGGGAAAGGGAAACGAATCGAGCGAAAAATTATCTTCGCCCCGAAATACAGCCGCCTGACGGTACGTTACGAACGAACGAGACAAAGTGAAACGAGCAGAGACGGGGAGGTTACAGCCGTCTTTATTGGATTCCGAAAATGAACGAACATGAATTTTGCGAACGGACATGTCATTCCAACAGTCAATCCTCTTCGATCGGAAACGTTACGTCTTCATCTTATATCCAACAGTTTCTATCTTTCTTAAGTCTCGTTCTTTCAATTCATTTCTCACAGTTCAAATTATGACATTAAGAAAATTAAATAACAAATAAATGAATAAAATTGTCAAACTCACAGTAGAAAGTGTAAGATTCGTTATGAAATCTTTTTATGAAAGGACCCATAATCATGTTCCCCTTGCAAAAATCACTGTACGTGTAATTGCTTCACGGTTTTCGCAAGTGCAGTATGAAAAGATTCTATAATACTTGGCAACGATTTAACGCGCGTTGTCAACGCGTCGCTATACGTATTACACGAGGGTAATTTATCAATGCTGGAGCGGTTACGTATGTACGTACATTGTCGTTTAAGTTACACTGCTGCCAGTCAACGTGTTGACGCGTTACAAAACAAATACGTGGCCTGCAATTTCTGCACCTCTGGACAGGGTGCCTGGTTACGAACGGCGGCATACAGTATCATAGTAGCCTACCATTCTACCCCCGACCTCATCGGACTTACGAATACAGTTCGGTGTGCGATTAAATTATTCCGTCTCGCTGGACGTTTCCCCGATCCGAGGCCGTGGAAAAGCTTATTTATTCGGTAAAGTGCAGGAACGAGGAGCGGGCGGACGGGCGGTCGAGAATAAACGTCGCTGACAAAAACAACGCGCACGCCAACGTGAAATTGAGTTACCATCACGCCTCGTTATTCTCGTGAGACTCGAAATAAAGTGGCGAGAGACATCTCCGCGAGAGGATTGAGTTACCGTCCACTTAATTGACCGCCCGCAGAAACGAGAAGAGGACACTGATTGACAGCGAGATACAGCTGTCATCGCGACTGACCCCGAAGAAGGGTACGCACCGGTTTAATTGGTCTTTAGCAGAACGAAATCCTCTCCCTCGTTTCGGTTCACCCGTATAACGAAGAAATTTGGGAAACAACACGTTCCACACTTGCTGTATCATTATGCTGAATTTCTTTACAGATACGCCGTAGTTGGAAGGTGAAAAATGAGGCACGATCACTTAAAATATTGATTTTGACCATCTGAATATCCGTCCATCGACCATATAAGAAAATACTATTGATTAAGGAACCTTCGCGTTTCTGGTGTGGAACGTGTGGCAACGAATGTGATTCCAAAAACAAAGATGCAATCATAATCTTTGTACCTGGATTAATAATATACGGATAAGTCGGTCGATTCAGTGACGCAGCGCGACGACTGGCAACGTCATCGTCGTCGTTGTCGTCGGTTGGGATACATTTCTCGGATTACATAAACCCAAATTATCCCATGAGTCATTCTAATTCTGGTTCCATCGGGGTTGCATCGCTATTCCCTCCCTACACGCGTCTCCCTCCCTCTATTCCCTCCGTCACGCTCTTTCACCACTTTTCGTGCATACGTCCTAAGCGTCGTTGCCTCTTTCTCGAGCAGAACGATGTCTGCTGTATAAATAGCCGGCACATGTGTCGTCTCGGGACGCACACGATGGCCCACTTTCCCTCGTGCCACACGAAATTAGAGAACTTCGACGACGATGCTTTTTCATTTTCCACCCGGGACAATCGCCACCTCTCGCCCTTTCCATCTACACCCACGATTTCCTGGTTTCGGGACGTCCTCACTCGATTTCCAGACGTTCCAACCAAGAAACACGGAAATACTTTTCTTCTTGGAATAAGTTAAGATCGTCGAGATAGAGAAGAAGATGGTGGAAGGTGATCATTTGTGGATAAGATGGATGTACACGCTTATAAACGAAATTCTAGCGTACAATCAAAGTATTATATTACACGTATAGAGTATAACCCTTCTTCCTTTAATAATAAAGTCGCGAGGTACGTTCAAATTCGATTGCAGAAGAAAGCGTATTCCGAAACTAGAGAAATCTGAATGTAGATTCTTTTAATTGACATCATAAATGTTTTACGTTGCTTAAAAATCAGCGGAACGGTAATCATCTTTACTTTCCTAACTAACTAAATCGTTTGAAATGTTCTGTGTACTTTTCATTGCACGTACGTCTATAATCAGACTGGAAATGTTTATGCAAATATTCTTATGAATGCACGCGAAGAAATGAAACCTGTTCCACTTGCTAAGTGCCATACTTCGAATACTTCGTACATTTTTGCGCATTCGAGTATACATTCTGCATGTGCGTGCTTATGCAAGAAGAATCAATACGAAGTAGCATTTGAAATTATCACTTAAAACATTTCTTTCAGTCAAATCGGTAAATAATTGTTCGTTTCAAGTTGTTGACTATCCTGTTTATGCATGTTTATTCTATTATAATTATGTAATAAATCACCTAATTTCTGTTCGCGTAACAATTTCTACTTACTGATTTTATCCCTTGTAATTTTATGTACGCTCTCAGGCCAGAGAGATTGCGACGTGAACAGAAATTGGGACGTTTATCATACTTAAACTGCCGAAATGTGTAAATACTAGTACCTGTAGACACGAACGTACACGTGCACGAGATACATCGGTCTACACGTAACTATCCCCGGTGCAACAAAAATCGGTGCGAACGATAAATAAACTGTTCGATATCACGAAACGTCGCGTCGCGTGAAAAACTGTTTCATGGACAGGCCGGTGCCACGGTAGCGGCAATAGTTCTATCCACGGTGAATGCAACTGCATTTTCCACCGCGACACCAAGTTCCCACATATCCTAGCGCAATAATGGTAGCAGACAGATCTGATCTGACGGATCGCATCCGCGACAACGAATTCCCGTCGCCCGTCACCGACTTCCACCGTCGCGTCGCCTCGCATTGCGTCCCGGATCTCTGCTCTCTTCCGTTCACGATCCATTTTTACAAAACAACGATGACGCCTCGTCGTCGGCGTTTCGCCGCACGATCGCGCGGGTAATGAGAATCGTTGTGCACTTCTGTACCGCGTGCATTCGCCGTCCAAGGCCGCGCACAAATTGGCCGGCAGTAAAAACGGAAGCAATTTTCGGAGACGAACCGTGAAAAACAGGAACTAGGATTTTCTAAAAATAACTCGACATCGCGTTGAGGAACTGCGTATAATTTGAAAAACATATTCTATAAAAATATGAATACGTAGAGAGAATCAAGGTTTCGATGAGACGGCCGCGTCTGAAGTAGATCAACCTATTTATGGTCAGACAAGAATCTATTCCCTGCGCCACGTCTTATTCCTTGCCCAATTTTAACGTTTCCGTAATATTTTTAATCAGGTAATTATCCTCTCGAGTTGAGTAAACTTGGGGATCGAAAACAATCGAAACAAATTATTTCTTGAAACAATTTTGTCTGTTGATAATTACGTCGAGAAACAATACCTGTATTACGTGTTGAAATAATATTTTCTCTAAAAATATGAAGCCTGACGCATTTTTACCGGGAATTATGTGTCCCCAGGTGTTATCAGTCTCATCTGTGGTATAAAGCATCCAGCGCGAATGGACGTTCAGTCAAATAACTAATGAGCATCAGAGTACAATGGTGAAACTACGCGCGTTCGGTGTTTTAATATCGTTCGGAATTCTCAGTGGGAACATGGTCGAGCCGCTGATGCAGGAGGGATTGTCGAAATTTTTCGGCACTATCACAGGGATTAGACAGTAGATCTCGTTTTCACGATACTTATCACTAATCTGAATTTTATCTACAACTAAATTTCACTCGAAATTGCAGACTGCGAATCCCGGAGTTGTTAAATCAATTGTGCAACGAATCGCAAGGTTCGAATATGGTTCGTCGAGACGCGTGTTACGGGTGCTTCTACAGAGTGTCTAGACAACCCATTGGATATTCACTGTTGGTCTCTATGTCCAGCTGCGCTGATATGTATCTCAATGGTACCGATTACGGTCACTGTCAACGATATTTGAGCGTAAGCATATTTGCCGTCTCTCTGACTAAACGTCTTACAACTTTTTCATAATCGATCCATCCATTCGTAGAATGCTACCAACGCACTGAACTCAAGAATTAATCCTACGACTATATACTGCACGTTCCTCGATTGCGTCCGACAACAGAACAGGGACAATTTGGTAAGTACAATAGATCGAAAATTTCCCGACTGTGCTATAAATAATGAACACGCTTGTCGCTCCAATCGTTCAGATCGTATCGCTTATTAGTCATTGTACATACGGATGTATAAAGAGAACAATTGTAAATATAAAACAGGAAACACTGCAACTGAGAGCGAGAACGTCACTGATCCATAGGACGAATTACGCAGAGGCATCATTCTTTCATTTAAAATCTTACAAACAGCTAAGAGGCGTTTGCGTTATACGAGAACGGAATACCGAGACGATCACCGTGAGACCTGGAACTGAACCTATCGATCCCAGGGGACAAATCCAGCAACCACAACTATATTTTGCTTAAAAGAGATCACCCATGAAACTGTACATACATATACCTTTGTATAAATACTGTACATATTGTTTACTATAAATATGAATTGCAGTAAGTAAACTGATTGCAATTCAACGATATAAAATAGTATATCCTATTTTGTATATAATATAAAAAAGATCCCACTATAACGAAGGTTTTCTTACATGTAATTATGCTTTTTATTTTAATTAAATTTCACTGAACATCTCGCAATGGAACATTATTACCGCGAAGGTTCATATTTAGCGAGGGGCGAATATCCACTAACAAACACACGTGTTACGCTTAGCTCACGGAATGCGTCGGCGAAGCTGTGCGGATATTCCCCAATTTCACCGTCACGGACGTGAAACTGGCTCAATTATATGTGAACACCACCGCGTGCGTGCTAGCGAGATCCCGTTGCTCACAAACGAACCCGATAACCGGAGAATTTCAAGAAGACGTTCTTGCTAATAAACTGCATATACCGACGATCAACGCGGTGCTGGTCAACACGGATTACGACATCAACATCATACAGCTACCATTTTATTACGGTTCCATCAACATCTGCTCGAAGCAGAGGAACTATGAGCAGGCCAGCTGGCCAGGCGTCACGTGCTGATCGAGAATTTCTCTCTTTACCATTGAGGAAGCACTCGGAGAAACTGAGAATTTCTCCTTACGACGATTTTAACAGGAAACGTTCCCGACCCACTAGTAATCTCCTACGACACTATTAAGAGAATTATATGCAAATTTAATTTGTTTCCTTTTATGACTAGATCGCAAAATAAAACACACGTGGCATGATCATAAAAATTCACGAAATCGTTTAACAATATTTTTTACGACTATCGATAAACTGAACTGAAATTAACCAGTGCTCGCACCCAGACGCCGAGCAAACGGAACGGCCTAATACAATTTCCAATTTACGAGTTAAGTTAATAACGGCGACCCGCGATGACACGAATAGATAGGGCGTTGTAATAGCGACTGAGAATGACACGAGCCATCTAAGTGCAAATTATCCCGTAACCCTTGATTGTGAATCATCGTTTTAAACCGTCCAACGAATAGGAACGAACACGTTAAGCATCGATTGTATCGCGAACGTTCCTTCTCCTTTTTATGCATGTTCTCACTGAAAATAGCTTTCGTCCTCGCCTGGATGCGACGTCGGACGCGGGTCGCCGATGTCATCGGCGAACCGATTACGCAAACAGAATTTCGACCCACGGCCGCGGAAATTGGCAAACGTAGTCGCGGAATTTTTATTTACCTTCTTCGCGAAAACGAATACTGGAACCTAGAGGAGACACGAGCCAAACGAAAAAGAGGAACGCCTCGCGCAACGGAAATCGGGGGCCAAAGGTTTTTCTCTTCCCTTCTTTGCGAGGAGCTAACGGTTCAATCTTGCACGTTGAAGTTCTGAAGGGAGATACGTGATCTCGTCGTGGAACGTTGGTCGGAGAGGAGAACGTTTTCATAATCAACTGTACGACGTGCGAAAACGAATCTCACGATGTCCTGTGTTACTTGTATCACGTCAGCGTTGCGTATCATTACGAGCATACGAGATAAAAAAGATTTCCAGACACGAACCTCGTCAGCTACGCTTGGAATTATTTTTTGCTTTTTCTAAAAAGACATTTATTGGAACTGATACCAAAGGAATTCCGGTGCATCTGAAATGATTCTTATGAAATGAGCGCTCTCCTGAGCATATCGGCGCGACAACGTTTGGTAGCGATATTTACATTTCCGCGTGCGCGATAGACAGCACGCTCGCCAACAAATATCCGGATATTCGAGGGTAATCGGATATTAAAGAACCCGGGTATCATCGTCGGCTCAAAGAAAAGGGAAGGCTTGAGAGGGAAACGGGACGGAAGAACGTCGTCTCTCTGTTCGGCTCTGTTTGCCAAGGTGAAACTCTCTAGTTAATTCTTTCGCAGACGAGAACCGTACAGGAAGCACTGGTTGGAAAAGAATCGAGGGATCGATTCCGTGACATCGGTGTGCACTCATGTACTTATAAGAGAAAATGGAGCAAAACGACGCCGAAAGGGAATCACCGAGAGAGGGCGAGGGAGGCACGACGGGCGAGGGAGGCACGACGGGCGTGGGTAGAAAACAGACCGAAGAAACGGAGAAAAGAAGCGACGAAGATGAAGGGAAGATCGGTCCATTGCACAGAAGCGACGCTCCACTTAGCATCTTCCTCGAAATAATTTGAAATATGCAAATACCATCGATGCGCACGCGGCCTGCCTATTGGCACACGACCCTGGTACAGCCGTGTGTGCGCGCGTGCACCCGTGCCACGGCCGTGTTTGTAGTTTGTACTACACACGACCCGTGTACATCACCCTCGTGGAGAGAAGAGGAGAGGAGGCTAAGACGCGAGGGAGAAGACAACGTATATTCCACTGGCTTACGGTTCAGTTCTCTCGGAGCCAATCTAACTTAACATGCAGATGCAGTACGTGGAATCGTAGAGGCGACAGAGGGAAAGAGAAGAGAGCCAGAAAGGAACTGAGACGGTCGCTTCTGAGTCATTCGAGGCGATGGTATACCTGCCTTTTCCGTATGATCATTCACCGTTACCGCCTTTAATGTCCTCGCGATTCGTAGGGTCCTTTTAAGACGGGACGTGATTTTAATGAATAAACCATACGACCGCTACTCTGGATGCAGGATCGATAAAAATTATTCCGAACGATTCCCCTGGCCGGATTGGCAATTCGTGTTACGGACGAGGATAAAACGGACCTTGTTGCGAAAATAAAACCGACAGGGACGAGAGGAGAGCTTTTGCGCGAGTCGTGATATAAAATAAAATAACACGACTCCTCGGTAATCCACTAAATGAAATTATATCGGGAGAACCGTCTCGCGTATCCGTCGTACAGAACAAAATCGTTATTTTCTTACGAAAGACGAAACGCGGCGCGACACAAGGAAACTCGTAACTCCTGTCCTATCAGATCTTCTAAAAATATTCCATCTAAACCTTCTTACGTGCTCGCCGCACGCGTGAGCGTAAAACGGTACCTGTGTACATCATCGAAATACGTGACTCTCCTTTTACTACCCGAATTTAAGTGGATTACAACTTTATATCGGAGCATAAACATGTTTTTAGCAAAGCTTCGATATATCAGAGGTCCATTTCGCGCGGTTGACCAACAGAAATTTTACCAACGCCGTTTACCATTAGAATATCCAAACGGGTAATCGAATAAATCGACCAAATAACAGTGTCATTACGCGAACAATGCTCTAACGTCATCGGCTGAAACCCCGTGTACGTTTCTCATCAGTCACGGAAGATTAAGTTTGCGCGCAACGTACCGATTGCCTGCACCTACGCAATAGAAAGCTCCGGCATCCGTTTCTTCTGCCGTTTCTGGAGATTATCTCACACGAGAGCGTAATAGATGACTGCTCCGCGAGAGATCAGCGCCGAGAAACGAGAAACCGTGCCTTTCCCGTCTGAACGTGAAAATTCATCGAACTTTTTATTTTCTTAAAGGATATTTTTGCGCCGGAAAGAACTTGAAATTAACTTTAGCGAATTCATTTTAATTTGAACACTGCCGCATCTCGCGAAAGTTCTTAAGTCGAGTATTTATGCGGGGGCGGAGGAACTGGATCGATCTTACTTTATGAACAAGAAAACAAATGAGCCATCGCGACGCGACGTGTCCTGCATCGTTTGCACGTGAATCATGCCGATCGGCGCGTATTGCACAAGCAGAAGCGACGAGTGAGGACTCATCGCGGAGGCGTTGCATAAAACGTGCCGCGGTGGCTGGTAAACAAAAACGAGGAGAGGAGTCAGCGCTCCTGGACCGTGGACACGTCATCGAGGCGCGGCGCACGTAAAACCAGGACAGACCACTGACGTGCCTTCTACTGCAGTTCCATCTAACCAGATTTTCTCACCCCATTTTCATTTATCAAGAAAATCACTGAGTCACGAACTAGTAATGAAAAATCGTACAATATGTGAATAGAAATTTCTTCTAAATTCACTCAGATCAGGTATCATGATTCTGTTCAGGTTTTATAGATACGCGAAAACTTGCTATGGGTTTCATGAATGACGAAACGAAATGTACACCTAGGTGAATCACGTGCGTCAAGCAAAACGATTCCAAAAGATTTTCGACACCTCGTTCTATGCGTTAACGAAAATTCGAGACTACAACGAATACGACTTTGCAAGAAAGAACAGCATTTATTATACGAATAGGGTGAAATCAATTATGAACACGGAAGAGAAACAGCTTTGCTGTGTCATGCATAAGCTGGATAGAACTGCTAGTCGCCCTGCGGTTCAATCTCTTTAGTCATGCCCCATGTGTTGCATGTAATACTGTTATACATCAGCATCGTGTCTAAAAAAACGTACGACGGCGTGCGACACGCCGTTTTCACGAAAGGGAGAAAAAAAACTGTCCCGCGGTGAGTCGCGTTTGCATTAAAGCGGCATGCAACATTTTCGAAATTCCACGCTCACGCCACGCGTCGTAGTCAGTCAATAAATGCACAGCACGCGTTGCAGCTGTTGAACGCGTCGTTGCGTTACAACGCGCGACTTTCTCTCAATGAATTTCTTCGGCACCCATTGACCCACCCACGCGTGTATCTATTCTCTTTTGATTCACGTAACGCAGAATTACGCGCCATCGATCAATGAATTCGAAACTCGGTAATAAGAGCGAAATAGAAAGGATTTCAATGATTTTTCATTCTTTAAACAGTTAGCTCAATATTTACCGTTTAATAAAAGACGATGTTTCGCGATACGCGAATATTTTTGTTACCCGTCGTATTTCTCGTTATTCGTAATGTTTGATTCCGTCTAGTTCCATTCGAGTAGAAATGTTTGTTCGTGCGTCGTATATTTATAGAATAAAATAAGTGTAAACGCGACGATATTTTGCCTGAAGCGAAAGGATTGACGTGTGTTTAGATGCTGTTCGAAATACATATAACTCGGGGGACGAGGAGCATATGCACGTCCTCGTACGTACGTACGTACTGGTTATTGTGATGTTTGGGAAAACATGCAATGCGACTACAAAGTACTACACAATGCGCCCATCCGGCAAAAACGATATAACGACACGGGCGCGCTGCTGTGTACACATATTTCTACGTGATTCACGCGACGTTTTTACTGTATTTTATTTGAACTGCATCCTGCAGTCTTGTCGAGTGCTTTGTTTCTACCTCTCGCTTCTTTTTTTTTTTCACTTTTTTATATATTCAGTTCGTTTTATTTCCCTATGTTTCATTTCCCGTCACGTTTAATTAATACATTCGTCTCACCTCGCCTAATGCATTTATTCTCCCAAAAAATAACCGATCTGTCAGACGACCATAACATATTCTACAATCGATTATTACAAAACCAGTGAATAATTGACGGACGAATATTTTGGGTAAAGTAAAATAAAATCTCCGAGGATACAATTTGAATCTTATCAATTTTTAAGCTGGACTATCCACGTATCGTACCGTCCTTGCGTATCAGTGTAAATGGCAAACGTTACAGCCTTGCGTGTAAAAATTTAATTTTATCATCGCTGCGGCACCGTGTCATTAGTTAGATGATACGTGAAACGCGGATATCCATCTTTAAGTGCATACAACAGAATTGAAACGAAAATGTAGGATAAACTATTCAAACGAGTGATATGCAATTTTGGATGATTAATTTTCTGGTCATCACGCAATGTTAATGTCAAGTATATTGCAGTTAGCGAAATTTTAACT